AGATAGTCAATAAGTGGAGAGTAGATGTATTTTGGATATATTGAGTTAGATAAAATGTATTATTAAAATTAATTTCGCTGTTTATATTTACTTTTTTTAATGTGGCTTCAAAAGCTACCTATGTGACTTACGTTATATTTCTGTTGGATAGTGCTGGCCTAGATACTTTCCTCAATATGGCAAGACCAGAGCAAGAAAACAAAATCCTAGATCTTACTAAAGGGAGGTGTGTGTGTCGGGGGAGAACCCATGGGTCCGTTGGGCCTTACCTCACATACATAAAAGGTGATACATATAGACAAAGAGCCCCTGACAGAATTGAAAGAAGACTTTCATCATGCATCTTTACACTTGCACCCCATGACCAGGGTGTTGTGCATTATGAACTGATGTATTTCTGAATCCTATAAACATCTTGTGAGCATCACAATTATGTTATATACGGTACTGTTAAAAGTTCTGATTTGTTCAGTGCAAACACTGAAGATATTCCACTACTTTTGCAACTGTTTTACTGTTTCTTCTTTTTTAATACTGTGAACATAGAAAAGTAGAAGTGGCCTGGGCCTGTGTCTACCTCTGAGAGACCTTTCTAGTTCCAGGCTTGACATAAGTCTTTCTTCACAAGCAAATTGAAGTTTTGATGTCTAATGAGTATATAGGCTCTTAATTAATTTTTACATTGCCTCTGAAAAATAGATTCACTTTTAAAGCAGCTTTAAAAAAAAAAAAAGAAAAAATGAAGCACAAAATGGAGAAGGCCCTGTTTTCTAAAAGGAAAGAAGCGCTTTTAAAGTTGCATCTAGATTCCCCAAGGACTTTTTGTCAGTGATAGGAGGAGGGGATGACCTTGCCCAAGGAGGCAGAGTGCTCCTGGGCATGTGCTATGAGGTGAGGAGCTGGACGAGCCTCTCCCTGCACGCCTGTCCACATAGAATGGTATGGTTTGGGGGAGATGTGGTTCCAGCTTTGACTTAGCTGATTTGACTGTATTCTCCCTTCTCTTGCAGTGAAATACGAGGAGTTGTACTGCTTTTCATTCAACCCCAAGCTCGATAAAGAAGAGAGAGAACAAGGCTGGAGGCTGATTGACCTAGGTGAAGAGTACAAGCGGATGGGCCTTCCTAATAGCTGTTGGCAGCTCAGCGATGTGAATAGAGACTACAGAGTGAGTGGAGGCCTTTTAGCACAAATCCCAATATTGAGACCACATCAAATCCTGATTTCACGTAGCTTAGTATGACATTTGTTTTATCTTCTTTGGGTTTTGTCACTCTTTGTAGGTATAAATGTGAGAAATTCCAAGTTGCACTTGGTTATTGAAGCTACATTTTCTCCCTACACCTAGAACAAGAACGTTTGAGGCAGGAACCTCAGAGATCCATAGACTAGCCCCTCCACACCCCAGCTGTGGGAGAGCTGCTCCCATCAAGCCTTTTTATAGCATAGCCAGTGATTAGTGGGGAAGTCAGAGAGCCTCTGCTGGCAGTTTGGCACCGCTCCTCTCTGTGCTCACTAGAAATCATGATTGGTACACAAGGTCACCAAGAGCCTTCCCTAGAGAAAATGTGGAGAAATGGGCCTACACTTACAGGAAGGAATAAGGGAGGAAGGG